ATGTTTCAGTTGGTACGATATTCGAGATATCGCAGTTCTTGATGTAACTCTCAGGTTGAAATCAAAGTTCTGGTAAAACACGGGGTTACCATTCACCACCTTGCAATTCTCTGATTCCTGAACAAAGTACGCCAGCGAAGCATCAGTGTCGAACAATGATGCCATGCTGTCGACGATGCTGATGACCGAACAAACTGAGGTGGTCGGACTGACCTGGCAGAACATCAGTTTCTTTTCCAATGATGGAGAAGCATGGGAAATACACTCATCTGCATACAAATCGGTTTTGACGGGACTCACCTGGAACCCAGCTGAATCTAAGCAACTGAATATGCTGCACCAGTGGGCCTTATGCTTCAGTTGGGGGATATTCGAGATATAGCGATGCATGTGTGGACGTAGTACACTACTCATAAGGTCGCTGAAAAATTCACCAACGGTAGATTCAGTTGGGATCCAGATGAGTTGCCCGTCAAAACCAAATTGGGGTGCCAGTGAGTGTACTATGAACCAAGTCGTCCACCAGACCATGTTCAGCTTTCAAAAATCTTTTTATAAGCGTGGCTATTTGCAGTATAATGGGAAGGTAAGCCAGACCGGGCTCCACACGTCTGTCAATTGTGAAAGATACAGGTGGTGTCGAGTAACAAGTAGGACCGATTGCTTCTAAAATTCACGCATGAATAGCCATACCAGGCCCAACTTTTGCATAGACTGGGTGATGCACAATTGCTTGTTCTCGCTGACCCAGGTCGAAGGAACTAGTGACCGCTTGACTTACATGGATATACGCCGCTCGCCCACGGATGTGCACTGAACAGCGGTTAGCCAGAATAAGTGAAGTATTCCATCGCGCATTCAACAAATTGACTGAGGAACCCCGAGTACAAATAAGGCGTGATGATTCCGCCCCAGAAGTCCTGAATTCTTATTGCCTCCTCTCAAAAGGAACCGTTTCTCTTGGAGTGACATTTCGGTAACCCCAAACTCGACACAAGATAAATATCAATTACAGCTTCGGGTAAAGCCTGTAACGTGGGAATCGCCCAGTACCGGAAATACGCAATACCTTAAATAATCCTGACGTTTTTTTCAATGGTGCGCAGTCCATCCAACGTTATCGTCTCGACTGAGCACCTTTCTACAACGATACGATAAGATGCCCATTCTTAGAGTTCAAATCTCATTTAGACTGCAGCTGAGAACCGCTTGTTTGGATATGAACGTTGTCCTTCTTTACGGAAAAGCCGAAACGGTGTTACACGTCTCAGGCGCAACTGTCCATTTTCATAACGAGTGATGGAACGAAAAAACTGATGCTCTAAACAAACGTACGCATGACTGCCACACTTACGCGATTATAGGACTTGCGCTGAAGAAGAAATTCCAGTCGTCGAGCCAATTCTGTGGTGAGGACCGAAACAACCCGATCGGTGTTGCCACCGGACAGAATATTCTAATTTGAAATAAGAGTGGTAAAAAAATGGATGTACAAAATTCTGGTTTTACGACAAAAATGTACCTAATTCAATGTTCCGTTAGATTTTCAAGATAAAAATGTTTCAGTTGGGAGATGTTCGTTTTCGATTTTGTTTAAGCACATGAAATATATGCAACAGCAAACTATCACAAAATGTAGCTCTTTCGGTGCCTAGCTGCCATGCCACCCAAAGGGAGCACGAGGGCTGGGATACTGTCAGGTTGCCCAAGCCTAGACAGGAGAAGTCGAGGGGCAGAGTTCGGGTTCGAACCACGGACCGTCCGGTCAGTAAATTCGCGCTCTAACTGCTTGAGCCATCTCGCCACCGTCACGAGGTACTAATGATATGGAGGGCTATCAACACGCTCCACCAAGTCACAGAGGCCTTAATATGACATGTCATCACAAAAAGAAGAACTGGTGCAGTGACTCACCCGGAATGGCTTCAGAAAGGCTTCCAGATCCGCCACACAGGCTTCCACCCAAGGATCATTGGCCGCATACATGTCAAGGTCATCCTACATGAACAATAAGAAACAACACACGTATCTGTTAGAAATCGGGACAATAAACGTGCAATCGGCGAAGGGAAACAGCTTAAAGACCAACACAGTGAAACAACGCCAGAGTCATACGACTGTCAACACACCTCTGAAATGCCATAATGAATGCCGGCGAAAGTTTGCAGAACCGACTTGACGTGTCCACGGATCACTGATGTGGTCAATTGCTCCAAGCCTGAGTCCAGCAATCGTTGGAGTTGTTCAGAGGTGGAATGCTTTAGTTCGGTCAAACAGGCCTGGAAAAGAATTAAAATGACGTTTATACTCACATAAACTTGTGCTTGTACATATATTACACGCCCGAACACCCCGAAATATACCCGCGGATCAGCCAAGAGCAACGGAACACTCGACAACACAAGGTGGGATGGATGTTTCACTAAGGCGTTCCAGCTGGAAGATAAGTAGAGGCTGAACATTTTCTTTGTCGGAGGAAACATGCATTGTCTTAGTAAAAATGTGTCAAAAGCTACATTCGTATATTGTCCGTAGACTGTTTGACCAGTTTCAAATGGCTTGTTGCGTGACTTGCAAATGAATGCGGGAAATATTGAGGGAAACTGCCTTCACTCACAGTGTTGGCACGCATGACGAACAAATGGAAGGGACGGTTCCATGTTCCAAACATTCAACAGAAAAATTCCTGACAGGTTGCTTATTATCAACTGGTGTGAGATCCAGCTAGCCACGCCCACTGAAGATCGATAGGATAGCTTTGTTATTCACCAGTGTAACTCGCTTGATTCAGCACAATCGGTTGTTGATCGGCGATGTTTTTCCTAGGCAAACATACACTTCATGTTTCAAAAGGCCATTTCTAAATTAACCTACTGAAAGCTTGTGTGTGTGTGTGTGTGTGTAAGAACACGGCCGTGATTTAAATCTAGCACCCAGGTGAGCACACACGACCTAAAAAACCTATCCCCACGATTTCAGGTACCGTAGAACTAGGTCGCTAAAGGGTGCAAATGCGAAGAGAATTTAAGTGCCCATTAATCACAGTGCCGACCAATGGCTCGAGGGTAAACAGGTTAGTCTTCAACTACTAGCCGGGAGTTTGTTGGTTCGAATCACTATGGAGTTACGTGAGATGCCCACTGCTGACAATGCCCAGTAAGCATGATACACAGATTGACGCTGCGAACAGGACGAAGTCTGCACTGCTTACGTCTTTTTGCAGGATTCTTTTTATTCGAAAACGCCACCCTACGACTTTTTGAAGTTCCAGAACTTGTCCCCTAGTTATTGTATTCGGACACAGAATGAAATATCAGAAAGCCTCGTTGCTTCCGAGGGAACTCTGAACAACAATAGTTGTCAACCAATCAAGCCGGAGCGACATGCTTTGGCGTTGAGGGTGTCGCCCAACTAGCGCTTCTACGAGGCTACATACACGTCGATTTGCATTTCACAAGTTACTGAATAAGCACAATCCATCAACTGGAGCACTACCCATGGCATGAAAGTTGTGAGTCGTGGAACATTCAGGCGCCACTCACTAAGTTCAGTGAATGTTTGCGAGACTGGAACAAAAGAAATTCATCTTTTAGGTCAAGCCAAAATCCAGGTCTACTCGTGTACATCATTTACTTCATGTAATACTCATCCCGCGGGTAAGTCAAGTTTGTTTTGAAGGATGTGATACCCAAAGTGTAACCATTGAACTACTTCGAGTAGTAAATCGACCATTTTCAGGTGAATTAAGTCATCGGGTGATTACGACAAGTTCAAGAAGTTCCTGTCCTTCGTTACTGAGGATATCGCCTGTACTTCGAAGAACTCAACGTGGAAGAAGACTGAAATGATGACACTTTGAACAAGAAGACTAGACCTAAGGGAAACAGCAAACGTTAGCAAACGCACTCAGTGCATAAATTTGCACTGAAACAAGGACTAACTGTCCTCGTGAAGAATATATTAGTTCAGAGCGGAGACAGACTCAACAGAACATCAATGAAAACAGAAAGACGCGATGGTTGATTTGTCCATTGAACTGGACAATTTACTTGAGAACGTTTCATCAACAACATCACCAGTGAATTGTTGAGGAGCGGAGCGGTTATGCGCTGAGTGCGTGCCAATATACGTGTCTCTAACCCGGGCTTACTCACTATTATGGAGTGTTCGGTTTTATTGGTTGGTCTCCTAAGTAGCAAAACCAATTTCAATAGCTTACACATTATTAGCGGTTTTTCATGTTTTACTTTATTGATGTTCGATAATCGGTATACGCTTGAAGATAGCCCTCCTCATTAAGGATAGCAACTAATACTTTTCCCCATAATGGTTTTCCTACAAAAATAATCATCTGAAAGTTATTTTTACACAGAAATCAGGTCTACTCCACATTTTCAGTGAAAGTTATGGACAAAGACATAACAGAATATCGGGGTGAGGTAGCGCTTTCTAATGGTACCTTAAGAACGGTCCGTACTAATTGTGCATCTCTCCAGAAAGCCCGGGTTTTCCAGTGTAGTCAACTCCATGATTTTTAATTTTATTCGCATTCGCGAGCGCATAGATTGTGTGTTCCGTTGTAGAATCACCGATGCCAATCATGCTATCCCGGTACTATAGCCTACCAACGCTGCTATAGTCACTTGCAGAAAGTTTCGAATCACTGAACTGATGATCCCTAACAAAGATGACACAATTGTACAACGCTCTTCAGATTTTCAGCGCACACTGACTACTTTCTAAAGGTTGTATCCCAACTGAAATCGCACAACCTTTCCGCCACCTAAAAACAACTCGTTATGTGCTGAGAAATTATAAGTCCCACAAGACCTTGGAAAGTTGCCACCTAAGGAGCCAATCAATAGTGGATGTCATGACGTGAGTTGTACGAATGAATTATGGTTGTCATATGCCAAAATAAATTGACCAAACATGTAGGATGAAGTTCCAAATTAAACCTTCCGAAGGATAAATCGCAGCCGGAGATCACCGTTCACGCCGAACCTGTGGAAGTAATCTGACGGTCCTATCGTCCGTTGGTTGACCTGGTACTATATATTCGGACGCAAAAGGAATACAAAAACGCACAAATTTCCCCACAAATTTCGCTAATATCCTAGTTGCCGGAATACGAGCTAACAACACTTACACAGAGACATCACCAACCTCACACGTATCTTCACTTAGTTGTCCTATATACATCAATCAAACTTCAGACGAAACCGGCTCCGAAGTCGACAGTCCGGATATGGTACTAACCTGTACTTTCCTAGAAGCAGGATCCTCTGGTTTGTTGAACAGAGCATTGAGATCACGTTCAAGTTGGCCAGTCAACGTACCCAGGTTGTTCAAGCAAGCCTCCAGTGTATTCAAGGCAACCAGAAACTGTTGTCTGGCCACGTTTCCTGAACTGCTAGCAGAGCTGGCAGAAGAAGTACCGACACCGGTGCTACTTGCCACAAATCCGGAGGAGGAAGCAACTGGTGTGACTGGATGAAAAAATGAGTTGGATAGGCAGCAAAACTAGCACATTGATTAAAACGTGAGGAAAAGGATGGATGTAGTTAAATGTCTAAAAATTCACAGGCACCACTCATGACTGGGGTACTTGCGTGTATGAACAGTGGGCAATCAAGCATCGCTCAAAAATATGCGTATTTTTGAGGACATTTCTGAGTGAAGTGTAAGACGAGTTCAAAACATCAAGTCACTTTGAATAACACAGCAAGAAGACAAAGGCTGTGGGTTCTTCAGCAAGAGTAGCAGAAATAACCAATTTCATATCATACGTAGAAATTGATAGGAATAAAACATTGGAACAGAACACTGATGGCCCATCAGGTCTGGTTCTTGTGTCTCGGGTAAGCTAACAGCTTGTTTCAATTCTTTCGTGCAAACAAGCTGGGTTAGTGTGAAGTAATTAACACGGTGTCACCAAAGATAATCAATTTTAAGTTGGCGTTGCGACGTTGTATTGCCGTCCGCCCCATGACCAGTGGGTAGAATGTATTTAAAAGACGATAAATCAGACGGGTTTGCGGGTTTTATCTTTCAAGCAATCGATTGACTGATTAGTCACGACTGAAACAATGAAGTAAACGGTCTAAAGTATAAACGATCAAGGTGAGGGGGAGAGAGAGCGGGTAGCAACAACATACCTCGCCTCGCACTATGTTGGAACAATTATGTATAAATTAATCTGTAAGGCCATCACTCCGCTGGCTGGTGTTTCCGTCCCCATTTTCCCAGTTTCGGCAAAAGCGTGAACCAATTTACCTTTGTTACACGTTTAATAGATGAATGACTGACTAAAGGGACCTCGTAATGTGACAAATGAAATTCATGTGCCAATAAAATCAAGCATAACAAATGCAAACTGTTGCATCATCACAGCATACATAACACGGAGCGGTCAGTTGAAGATCGTCCCAGATCCGTATGGTATTTCAACCATACGGAAGTGTGTTCCGTCATGAAGAGACAGGACCATACCGTGATATGACGGTTTGTGTGCCTCCATGACCCCATGAACCTGTTCTCGGGGATGTATGCGGCATGCGCAGTCTCCCGTACGACGTTGGTCAATGTTTGGATGTATGACCAACAAAGCCATCTGACCCTCCCAGATGAGGGAATAGCAATTCGCTCCTTAAAATGGTAATGCACTGGCACTTCCGCCAAACACTGCTGCCTTGAGGTAATGGTTTTGAGTCGAAGACTTTCGCCTGGGACCATACGCCAACCTATCTAAGTGTGGGCGCCCTGGCAGTATCTCAGTCCACGTAAAACCAAGACACTTACAACTAACAATACTTTCATGATACAGCGGTCGTTGCGTAGTGTCATCAGCCGGGCGACCTAACGTGCTGCACGCAGTAGGGCGGGTAAGCGAAACCAGACAACTGCTAACGCCTTCCTTTTTTCCCTCTCCCGTACTTTTTCTTCCCCCTCTCACCACCTCATTAATAGCTCTCCTTGTAGTACCATCAGTCAGAGGTAATGATTCCGTTCGTCCTGCATCAGCTAAAAATCTATCTTCAAGCCTTGATACAACGGTTGTTTTTAATGTTCGTACTCTGAAGCTCTCGCACTGGACTCGCCCGACAAAGATGTGTGTTGTGTATCAGAGACGAAAATTGGAAACGCAAGTGCAGTGTTAGGGCTTAACGCCCCATCACTCTCCAGACTCAATCGTGGTTAGCCGCTGTGAATAATTAGAATATTAAAGGTGAAATAGAACCCTGCATGCTGAACTCAGGATCCCCTCGTATGACTGCACCTCTGCTCTCAAGTGCCACCGAACTTCTGGTCGGGATGACTTCTCATCCGCATAGTTCAAAAGCGGGAATAAATTCCTCAGTGATCTGCTTGTCTGCAACTGGGAAAAGGACACTTTCCTAGACAACTTGGGAGAAAAGGTGATTGTGCCCGTTTCCAAAAAAAGGGGCTCTTAGAGGGTGTGATACAACAGCATGAACGCGCTACAAAACGAGACCGTTGGCATAACTTGTGGTGGTGCGTGAAACATTAACCTGAGAGCGGCAAGCGGGATCCCGGTCTGGCAGGGGTTGCGTTGACCGAATCTTCACACTCCGCCAGGTGCTAGAACAGCGCCATACGTATAATTCTAGTATTCCTGGATTTCCAGTCGAATGGTCTGTTCCCCACAAGGAATGTTCCGAACGCTTATGAACATAATAAGTTCTCTGTGTTCTCAGACATTCCGGTGCGTGGGAGTATACGGAGAGCTCACCAAAAGCTTTCGCACACAAATTAATGTCCGTCAGGAATGCCCATTATTTTTATTCCCATTTAATTTCGTGACCGGTGAAATAATGAGACGAACGCTGGAAGGTCTTCAAAGCCCCGGTGTTCAAATAGCTGCTGACGAAAACCTAGTTGATCTGGGACAGGCAGACGATATCGTCCTCGTCTTCGAAAAAGAGAGGGCGCAGGTGCCTTTGGATGAACTAGCCAAAGTCACCCCGTTCTTTGATATACACTTTGCATCCACAAGGTGTGATATCACACTCGCTGACATGCAGTCATTAAACACGCCACGTACGATACAGGGAGTGAGACTAGATGTTCAGCGTTGTTATATATGTTGAAAGTTGTATTGATTCCGGTTGTAGTGTGACAGGTGAGGCCAATAATGCCAGTTATAGGACATTTTCGGTGCCCAGCTGCCATGTCACCCAGAAGAAGCACGAGGACTGGGATACTGCCGCGTTACCCAAGCCTACATAGAAGTCGAGATGCCGAGGCCGGGTTTGAATCACCGACCTATCATAAATTCGCGTTCTAACCGCTGAGGTCAATGTAGGAACCTGCAGGGCTCGGGTCATGTTTGTTTGAGAAACCTATGGCGTAATCCGGTATATCCATGAACATCAAGGGACGTGTTATCGAGTAACAGTGGGGTCTGTTTTTTCGTTTGGCTCTGAGAATTGGCCTGTTCGAGCAACGGAAGTGAGACGCGTACGGTGTTCGACAATCGTTCTCTCAAGACCATAGCTCGTGTGGGCTGGTGTGGTTGGCGAATGAGTAACAAGGCAATTAGAACGCGCGTTCCGGTTGTGCGTCGGAAAATTAAGGAATGTATCCAGCTGCGTTGGTTAGGCCATATATTGCGCACGCCAAAGAGTGCTGTTTTCCGTCCCGGGAGCGGCAGAAGCAGACAGGTGGCCAACCCTTTAGTTGGTGGAGGGGATGGATGAAATTATGAAACGTTTGGGTGCTGTCTGTGTTACGCACCTTCCAGGATGGGAACTCGTGATCTCCATTGCACCTGGTTGGAGAGATATGACTGTTAATCAATGCCAATGGTGTTCTTGTTGTCAGATTCTACCCAGATTGCCTAGAGGTGCAAGCACCTCAGAATGATTGTATTAAGGTAGCAATAAGACCCTCATCTGCCCACCTTTGCTCTTTTCTTCACAACTAGTCTTTCAAATAAATCACACTTGTACTGCAGTGAAGCGTTAGTGTTGAGCACTGATGTCACACTATTGACGATGACGGCTGATCCAGAAGGCAGAGGAGGAATGTATGGCTCTGTTCGGAAATATCTACCCTAGATTCTGGCTGGGAAGTTCGAACCACGATGCAGCGAATACTCAAGAGGTTCTAGTAGGAGCCGGTAACTCAGTGGTCTGACCTTCTGACATGCAGTGCCTGAGAGCACAAGGAATAAGGCACACATGAACCATTCTTCATGCTGCGGTGCAAAGCAGGTACAACATAGGGCTCTCAGTAGGTTTTAATTATACATCGACCTCAATAGAAGTTGCACCGGTGGGAAATCGGAGTGTGCGGGTTTAGGGTAGACCTCTTCTAACCTGTCATATTTTGGGGGGTGGATGGAAGCAGCACCGCTACTTCCACAAATATGGGCGTGCTGGCCGCCTGGGGGAATGGCTTACTATTCTCACAAACCCGTAGGAGCAAGCAGTATGAACTTATCACCAAACCGCTTTAGAACACGATTTATCGCAGTACGGAGACCCACTGTTCTTCGTCCGACCACTCCCCGTTGGACTTCTTGGTATGTCTGGAACCCTGGCAACTAAATTCCAAACAGTGTAGCACACAGGACCATTGCAAAGCTGAAACCGGAAACCGCGAGAGAATGACAGCTTTGCGTCGGGTGATGGAACAAAATAAACACTTGCTCGGTGATTGTCTCACTAACACACAATCGATCAAATGCAAGTAATTATCAGTAAACGGAGGGCGAGTTTTAACTGCGTGGTTTTCAAGTGACCGAAGAATCACAGTTATGTGATCAGTCGAATTTTGTTTGTTACTACTTGTTAGCAAAGAGGTCAGTCATTTTGGGGTCCACAAAACGCAGTCACAGAATAAACGGTAGTGACATACCTGCGGCTACACTACTTTGCATGTAGCTGTAAGCGTCCTGTATCCAACCTGATGGAAATCCTGCCCGAATTCGTGGTGATAAAGTATGGGAGACCAAATGGTCGAGCAAAATTGTACGCGCATGGTTCAACATGGCACAGATTCCATCAACACTACCAGAGGAAAGGGCCCGGCTAAATTTGGATGGCCAGAGGCAGAGGAAGGAAAGTGGATTGAAGGTAGAAAAACATCACGAGAAAACAAATGTCTAGTTAGGTGCTTTAACATATGCACATACTTTTCGAAACTTACTCACATGAATACAACCCAATCGCAACAAGCACAACGGACATGTGAATGCAAGAATCTAGGGTCAGAAATATTGGAACAACTGACTGATACATCTCATTAACTGAAGCTCAATCAGTCAGGCTCACTGATGAAAGTTTCATCGTAGGAATGGAAATTAACACACCCGAAAATGCATGAGAAAAAAGGCATGCGATTTTCGGCGTGCGTGGGCGTTCTTGTTGATGGTATATACCCCGTATTTTCCGTTTCCTCAATGAGTGTTGTTACTCATTGGGCCGAGTTGCTCTTGTCCACGTTGTCAGGTGAAACGTGCAGACGTTGCCACTTCTTCCCACTCCACTAGGGCTACAACAGCAATGCAGACAAACGGAAAAAATGTACCTTGCAGGGCATATTGAAAGAAGAAGAAAGCGTTCAGCTGTAGCACCCTTCCGGTGCCTAGCTGCCATGCCACCCGAAGGAAGCACGAGGGCTGGGGTACTGTCAGGTCGCCCAAGCCTAGACAGGGGAAGTCGAGTGGCGGAGGTCGGATTCGAACCACGGACCTTCCGGTCAGTAAATTCGCGCTCTAACCACTTGGGCCATCTCGCCCCCGCAGGGCATATTAGATCAAAACAAACTCGCGAGTGTAATCACGGTGTGCACTTAAGTGCACACCCCAAAACTCCTAAAACAAAACTGTAGGACGAATAACAGACTAAGCTTGATGAATAGTAAATAATGGAGAATATCGACCGTAGTTACTTAAAATGGGCGTGGTTTCTGAGCAATTCACAGTATGCAACAAGCTTTCGTTTTTCGATGGCCTTTGTACATGAATCCTAGATAGCACGCCAAACATTATGCAGCTTACAACACTGACATTCGATTGCATACACCACCTAATCTAGAGGCTAAATTTGTTTCGGCACTCTAGCAACCTGGATCGGTTTGCAGCCGTAAAAATGGGTGAAAAACACAGAGGAACAGTTCAACGGTATCTGGCTGTCATCTGACTGTACAGTTTACAAAAGGTGTCACAAAAACCTGGAGCCTGTCCGTTCCTGTAACTTCACCGTGTGTAGCGAAAGTAAAAAGCAAGACGGGGAGACCATATATTCACCAACCTTAGGCACTGCTTGAGTATAAAAAATACGTCGTCGGCAAATCGTAAAGTCTTCGTTGAATCGTCAACCTCGTCCGATGTGACTGCCTAAAAAGGCAAACGGGTAGTGGTTAGGCTGGAGGAAAAGCGAGAAAAAACGGCAAAAAAGTAGGACCGACAATGTCCCATTCATTGCCCTCTCATGAAACGCTCCGCTAAAATGAGTGAGAGTAACTGAAGCGAAAATCGGTAACCTGTCAGCGAGTTTGTTATTTTAAACCACCCAAAGAATGCGTATAAGCCACCTGGATGTGTTCCATTACAGTTAGACACTGCAGTAGCTGTTGCAACTACCTGAAGCCCAGTGGCTGGTGTGCGCACAAAATGTGCACGAGATATTTTACATGGCTAGCCACTATCCGAATGTTTGGACGCTTGGATGGAAATTCTGCACCAGAATGCTTTGCTCCGGTACTTTGTGAATCAGATCGTGCAATAAATGGTTAAGACAGAAGTTGGGAAGATTCTAGGGAACACATCTGAACCATCGCACCACAAAAATGTCTCAGCGTGGCCGTTCCACTTCTTCAAAGAAGCAGTTTGCAATAAAGCAAGTGAACCGGAGGGCCGAAGTGACCATTAGTATGATTGATTAGTTTCACAAAACAGCCTTCCTGAGACGCAGTTGATTCTATACGGGTCCACCAGCCCTGGGAAGAACTGAACTAATATGAAAAGCATGCTGCTCGAATGAGTGGTCCCCCCTGAGAAGAGCAACTGTGGTTCGCACAGCATCACTTTTAAGTGGTGCAATAAACTGGGATACAGTTGCTCAGGTAACCGTAAGCACCTTGTAAGGCAAGGTGAAGTCTTCGACAACCAATGTCTCAAAAGCATAGCTAGCGTAAGTTACTGTCAGCGAATCCGCAACGAGGCAATCAGAAAACGGGTGTTCGGGAGCTTCCGTCGAAAAATCGGTATAGCAACAGAAGTGTCGTCCGATAGGTCACGTATTGCGCATACCGGATTATCTCTTGCTGAGTGCTGTTTGCATGCTCAATTCAGTGGTGCAGGCAGAGGGATGGTCAACCTTTGACCTGATACAAAGGTACAAAAGAGATAACGAGACCTCTAGGTGATGTCGATGCGACCCGTCTTCTAGGATGGAGACCGCGTGATCACCACTGCACCTGGTTAGAGGCACTGAAAGATATGGCTACTAATCGATGTCAATGGAGTTTTTGTTGTCAGTTTATATCCAGATTGTCTGAATGAGTTTCTCGAGGTGTAGACACCTCGGAATGATTGTGATAAGCTGGCACTAAGTCCCTTCCCCACCCAGTTTCAGTCTTTCCTTCGAAATAAGGCTTCCAAATAACTAGTGGCTGTGCGACAGCGATGCATCAGTGTTCAACACTGTTACACTTTCGACGTCAGTGATGGTGACGACGAAGACGGAACCTGGCTGGATCTGTCAGGGCGTTCACGAGTCTGCTCCAAGACCACTAACCAAAAAAGGCAGTCTGCAACCCTACACTTAGTTCCCATACGTTCTCATCAATTTTTTACTCATCCAAACTCTACATGAAACCATTCACCACAGTTCTCACACCAAGAAACAATGCTAAGTACGTGAGGATGGACGATAAGATTTCTGTTGATATGATCCGACAAACATGTTACTCTATCTGTAGTGGTTCGGGAATCTGAACCGATCTCAGAGATATTCCGCCAACATTTTCTCAGGCGAGCGCAATTACTTTTGGATCCTAGCTATCAGTATGATATAATTCGCACTTAGAACATCGCGCCACTCAGCTTCCATTACGGAACTCACATCACGTGGCTTCTGCCAATAGAAAAAGCGTTCAGCCGTAGCACCCTTTCGGTGCCTAGCTGCCATGCCACCCGAAGGAAGCACGAGGGCTGGGATACTGCCAGGTTGCCCAAGCCTAGGAATAATCTAAAGGTAAAAACTACCCTGTTTCATGAAGACTAACGGTAGCTAGCATATTGACATTCGGCAGCTACGCCACACAACGCTTTGGATCTGGTCCACTTAGTTGTCCTCCCGCATGAGAAGGGATAAAGAGAGGCTGTACGGCTGTCGTTTCCCATTATACAAACGCGTCTGGTGACTGCAGCTGTTTGCAGAGGATGGGACTGAAAAAATTCTCCAAGGTTGATTCCGAAATAGTTCATAAACCAGATATAATTTACAAACTTGGGTGACCGAAAACCCACTCTCCTCTGTATTGATACTAATGTGCTTCAGTGATTTATATCATCTTTATTCTCCCTCAAAATGAGTTACACGTGCATTGCTGATTCCCTCATACGATTTAGATATACCGACGATGTAGTGGTCGGTTTGACTAGCAACACTGCTGGAGCGCAGTGGGACAACTTACAGCCAGTCTTGACCAAAATCGTGAAGTGGTCTAGGGGTCGTGGTCCATGTAACGTAGTCATTTTCTCAATAGTTCCAGGTAGGCGCCATGTGAGCCAGTCTAGTAATATGGCTTCTTTCACTGTCATCTATTTTCCCCTTCCGGTAATGAACAAAAAATTTGAGCCATACCTGTGGAGAAATATCGCCTGATCCCCAGTATCGAAATAGCTCTCGTCAAAGTATTCTATTCCCTCAGAATGAGGATATTACCAGTACCACAACCACATATATTCTTTTGAAACAAAGAAATCGTTCAGCTATAACACCCTTTCGGCATTCTCACCGAAGTGCCAACCGAAGGAAGGAAGACGGTTAGGATACTGCCAGATTGTCCAAGCCTAGATAAGAGAAGTTCAGATGCAGAGATCATGCTCGAATCATGGAACTCTGGTGAATTCGCGCTCTAACCACTGAGCCATCTCGCCACTGCAGTACAGTAACAAGGCTTATCCAACTATATTTAAAGACCCGAAATGAGAAGAAGCAAGAAGAGTGGGTGAGGGAGGGGACCTAGTGCTGGCCTATCGCAGTAGCGTTAAACAAATCAAGGGAAGCCGCTTCTCGATGGTGAGCTTCTGCAGCTTACCGGTCAGAAGGATATGAAGTACATTCTGATTGAAATCAGGTTGTGATAGCTAAGAGGTGACAGCCCGAACTTCATGGCAATATTCCAAGACAGGATGAACTGGATATTCACAGACAAGCTCAGATGTTTCCGAGCTCGAAACAAAGGTATCATAAGTCAAGATGTGACATGAAAGAGTCAGGAGAACGAAGCACTCACGATCAAACATTTTTATCAAAACACTGTGACGGGCGGGTGTGTCGTTCAGCTGTAACATCTTTCCGGTGCCTAGCTGCCATGCTACCCGAAAGAAGCACAAGGGCTGGAATACTGCCGGGTTACCCGAACCTAGACAGGGGAATTCAAGAGGCAGAGGTTGGGCAGCACCAGCATTGCCCAAAAGTTTCGTACCATTCTTCATTCCGTTCTGCTATGTTAAATCATATTCAACTTTAAGTTTTGGTGATAATTTTTCTCCCACGCCGTGCTGACCACTGTGTTAAGCCTATAGGAGCTGATCGTGTTGTATAGGTAGACACATCGATGGGATAGAGGCAAATTTGATGGTTCACGTATGCGGTGGTTTCAGACATCCAAAAAACTTTTACGGAATAGTGTGGAAGTCGCTGTCATCCACCAGCTTAATTCGACTTCAGGTGGAGGTAAATAAGCTGCGACAAACATTGCGTCAGCCGGGTACAACAAATCCGTCAAAAGTCCATATAGCTATCACTTTCTCTTATTTTATGATAAACCTTTGTTTTATCGGAGTGTTGTATGGAATATCATATTCGGCAATGTCCAATTTAGAGTAACCCCTGATTCTGGAGACCATACAATCAATTGTTTCGGGCTGTATATTGTGAAAGCTAGAACCACCGCACACCCCACAAATTTGTTATGGTGAACATACGTGACTTCTCGAGCACAGTAGGCCAACCTAACGTGGCATGTCCGAGAGTTGAATCTACCTGTGTCGCCATCTGGAACCGACCACCTAACGAGTGAACCATCCCAAGTAACCCGTACACGATGCCTTGATAAGGGCCTTCAATCAGTCATACATCTGAAGCTTTCAACTAAGCCTAGCTTTGTGGTCCACTAAATCTCGGAGTTTGAAAAGGCATGTATGCATAGAGTCATCCTCCTATAAATGATGCTACAGTTCACCCCGAAATTTCTTCAGTTCATCTCCGACTTTTGGGTCCAGTATCGATGACATTGACATGAATTAGACGAAGAAATTCCAGAACAGCAGCAAAAACTACATCCACAATACGGCTGTGTGACATGTGCCGCAGTATACTCGTCCATCTCCAGATATAGTCAACTTTAACAAAGTAACCGAATCTAGCAGGTCACGAAGTTCACAGAAAGGACTGTGCAAGCGCTGAAAGTGAAATGAACGTCGTACAGAAATCGGAGAACTCAAGCAGAATAGCCGCTTTAGGAAAAAATGAAAGAAATATCAAATAATGAAGGCCACAGACAGGTTGAAAACAGCCCCATTTCCGACTGCATATCCGTCTGATTCTAATTTAACGTTGTTCCCATTATTCCTAGGGTAGTAACTATCACTTCAAATCAAGTGCCAAGATTTTCATGGTTTCAAAGAAGCATCCTAAGCTGAGATTTCCACGACCCTACTTTTCTGCGTATGACACAACTAATGCGACCGATAGGATCGATCACATAATCAATATATGGTCACGGAATGGCAAAGATCTGGTCAGTAGCTGGGACACTGCTACCCTGTGTAAAGTCGATGCCATGACCGACAATATTCCTCACAGAAAGTGGAGGTAACACAGCTTTAGGACCAGAGACCGAATGTCCATAAGTGTAATCTCATCTTTTCCTACATTAAAAATTGGCCGGAGTGCCAGATGGAGAGAAGGAGGCGAAGCCTTGGACACAAGTGAAAGTGAAACGACATGGGATTAAACAGAAAGACACCAAAGGCACTCGAAGTTGAAATCACAAGATGCTTTGCAGAATCAGAAAGGATATGCATCAATTTGGGGAACAGTATACAAAGAGAAACGTCTTGAATCTAAATTCTCTTCATCAACCCATTGATAATAAACAGGGATGCTGTAATAGGCTTACCTTGAGAACGGTTTCTCGCATATAGAAACCCTCCAGAGTAATGTAGTTGGCGATAAGGTCCTGCATTTGACGCACCGTTTGACAGTTGTCAAAAACTGCTGCTACTTCTTTAAATTTGTCTGAAAGGGATTGGAAGGTAACACAGAAATCGTACAGTAATCATCGTATATAGGGACTGCTGTATTCATAATTTTCGACTGGGACGGTTCACAAATTTCCGAGTTTCTATAGAAGGAAGGAACGGCTTGTGATGAGGGCAGGGCCTCTATTGAAAACCAGAACATCACGTGATGGGTGACAACAGTTTAACACAGCAGAATTGGATTTGCTGATGATATGATTATGAGCGACATGTGCCCAGTGTGCTCGGAAATAAGCCCAACAGTAGCTTGCCACGTGAATCGTTCAGCTGTAGCACCCCTTTGGGTGCCTAACTGCCATGCCACACGAAAAAAGCAGGATGGCGGGGATACCGCTAGGTTACCCAAGCCTAGACAGTGCAATTCGAGAGACAGAGGTCGGGTTCGAATCATGGACCTTCCTGACCTTCGCGCTCTTACTATTGAACCATCTCGTCCTCTAGGCACGTGAAACCAGATAACACTTCTCACTTTGGATAATGTCATGCTTTCTACCGTGTTTTAAATCAGGCTTACTGTGTTCTGGAAAATTTCGTGGGCAGATACTATTTTCCCCGCTCGAATGTGTCGCTCGCCCCAATCCCATCGCTCATTCAAACAAGATGAATCAGGTGAGTGAACCGTATATCGGAGGAGCAGTGACGACATACTCGTTTGGCAGATCACTAATCTATGTTCAAATTCCTGTAATGCCATAAGTAAGACAACAACGCTTAAGGCGGTACAGTTTCATGTACAGACACGTCCTCTTGTCCATTGTGATTTATACCAATCGGCTTCTTCTGCAAAGTTCGGTCGACTCATGAAAGCTGCTGAGTTGAGTCAAAGGGAATGTCGACTAAATGAACAAGCCGACTCAGAGCTATGATCAGCAACACCGTGCATCTTATGGTCTACGGGGGAAATGGTTCCGTCAGGATTGGAGTTAATGCTCTGGTCGAAACTTAAGACCACATGTTGGAGTTCGTAATGGGGACTCCATACATCTAAACTACAAAATCCGCCTGGCACGGTCAGTTCACTTATCAGACGTAACACAAATTCGATAGAATATAGCACCCCGGCGCCACTAGGCCATCAGCGATTAACCTGACATAAGTAGCACCATATGAGTGTACAAACCACTTACGGTGAAAAGTCTGGCATCAAGATTTTATTCACGTTATATCCTCAGTTTAGGCCACAGGGGATTGGAGAAATAACGCGGAGATCTCAACAATCGGAGGCTAAAAGCTAGTTTAAACCATAGCGAGATCACGTTCGACTCATGTTGAGGGACAGGCCCGGAAAGAATGAATTCTAAACCATGCGATTGCACTATCAAAAGAGGATCTCCTCGACAATTTCTGTATGAGACAACCTGATAAGCTCCGTAAGTTTAGCTGAGTCATTTTGGCTATAAGTTTAGACATGATTAGATATGATCATTTTCCTTATTGCAGGAAAAGCGAAGCAACAGAAAAAACCTACTGTATGAGACGGAATCGGTACTTAATAGACACAAGTTTAGGATGTTAAATAACTGACAACTCATTTTAAAAAAGCAGGTAGCGGGCTGAAAGTCAAATATAATTGATAAGCGAAAAGCATTCTGAAGACATTTTTAGAACGAGGCATCCGAATCGTCCAATGCCACAAAGCTAAGAGCGCTGTGGTGTTCAAAAAACCGACCGGAACACCATTCCTAGCGGTTCTGGAAATATTTTCAACTACTTAAAATAGTTAGTAGTCCGACAAAATATGAGACGTATATCGGCAACTAACGCCTTCGTGAGCTCAAGGCCACAAATGCAGATTTCGGCGCGGCTCGAGTAGAGATCAATAATAGACTCCACCGGAAACGGCTGCACATCATCAGGAGAAAACAGTATATTTGACGGAAGTGTAACATTCGACAGCGACGTAGCCCATAAAAACCCGCCCTTGGGAAGAACCACTAAGCCCTGGATGTATTCGAAGGCGACGCTGCATCACCAAACGCCTGACTGATCGGATACGGGCAGACGTATGAGGCATGGGCCTAGCGTAAGGTCGTTCAGGCCTATCGGATGGCGTTCCTGCTCTAAGAGGACTACAGCCTTGTGCTCGGATCAACTGCCACGAGTTCCGGCTGCCAGAACCTAGATGATTTCTTGTACAATACGTGAAATTGGTGTAGCACCGCCTGGTGCTGCTTGCGACTATAAGGAGTGTTTTATACCCTTATAAAACCGGCTCAACTAACACACAGAAGGACCGTTTCTCGAAAATAGGATGGCGAAATTGGAGAATCGTATCGAGTCGAGTTTCTGTTAAGTGTACGTGTGAATTGTGATTCTTCTACTATAAAAGAGCAATGAGTAGGGGAAATAAATCTCCCCGACGTGAATAAAAAAACCATAAAAGCGGCCGATTTCCAACTACTAAATCATTCGAAGAACGATATATGCCGAAATCCCACAGCAACGCAATAAACGATTCTAGCTCTGTGAAAAACATTAAAAAGCCTCAACGGTACAAACCAGTAATTCTACTCACTCTGAAGTTCTGTTTCCGACAGAGCAACATTTTGCGCGTCAGCCTGGAGATGAGAGAAGAGACGATACTGAAGGTTTACAAATTGGGAAACATACGCAGGGGCCGGAATGCGTATTACAATCCATGAAACTGAGGACAAGTTCAGAGTAACCATATAGCATATCCATAACTGGTCCGTAAGCGCAGGTAGTCAGCCTCAAAAGCGCAATGCTACGGAAATCCGGATTCCTGACTGAGTAGACTACGGAACAAAACTTTTTGATTGTGATAAATGGGACTGCATTCGTGGGATATCAATAATTATTTTATTGTGTTCACTCGCGAGACGTAAAGCATGAAGATTATGAAAAAAGCTTGGAAATGTGGAAGAATAGGCAGACGTTTACACGAGTAAAACCCTGGACGCCAAGTGTTTTGCTGAAGCATGTCCTGTGCGCAAAACGCTAGCTAGTGAATTCTGATTGGTACGGTTTCACAAATGGGTAATGATTTGGGATTCCGGTTGCATGAAAACAAGGGAAACGAGTCCCTCGGATTGATTTTGTGGAAGGTGCACGAAAAAGATATCAGGATTTGACGTCAGAACTTCTAGAACGTGCAGTGAACAAAACCGCGCGCCCTGGTGGATGTCAGTCTGTTCTGTCAGTGTGAATGTTTATGTACATGACCTGAGACGGATAGATCACAGGGGTGGCCGCTGAGTCTGACAAACTGCGCTCACGCTTTCGCAGAATGATCCGCTTGGTAGCCTGAACTAAGATCAGTTGACCAGCATTGTAGGATCACTTGTGAACCAAATTCAGTTGCTACCCAATTTCACTAGCTAACTGATCGTCTGTGTGCGATAAGAACTGGCAAACCAACTTCACCTTCATGGACTAGATAAAAAATAATAATCGTACAGCTGCAACACCCTTTCGGTGCCTAGCTGCCATGCCACCCGAATGAAGCACGAGGGCTGGGATACTGTCAGAGTGCCCAAGCCTAGACATGGGAAGTCGCGATGCAGAGGTCGAGTTTGAACCATGGACCTTCTGGTCAGTAATTCGCGCTCTAACCACTGAACCATCTCACCCATCTTCATGAACTATGGGCTTTTGATGTCTGATGATACTGTGGACTTCCACAGAACACGCCAGAAAGCCAAAAGTGAAGTCTGTTCGGGATCGTCTCTTCCCACCATCATTCATCATTGTCAGCTGTAAGAACCGCGTACTGGTCGTACTGTGGTTTTAGCTGCCGCAGTTTCGTTCACCGATGATTTGGGGGTGGGGGTAGGTAGCTGCGCATTGCACGCGCGAGCTGGTAAATTGGTGCATAAATCCAGCA